AATATCTGGAATGTATAAAGAACTCAAAAAAAATCAGACCTCCCAGATGTAAAGACCCAATCCAAAAAATGGGCATCAAAATAGACACTTCTCAGATAAAGAAGTACAAATAGAAAATAAACATATGAAAAAATGTTCAACATCACTGGTCATTCGAGAGATGCAGATGAAAACAATGCTGAGATTCCACCTCACTCCAGAAAGAATGGCTGCTATCATGAAATCAACCAATAACATGGCGTGATTCCGTCCTGTGTGTCTGTTCTCTGGGGGCAGTAGCTGTTTATTTCCATCTACGTTCTCTCCCACCTAAGTACATGACACCACTCCATGGAAGATTTGATGGATATGGACATGAGCCCCCTGAGGCCCCAGAACTATCTTTTCGGTTGTGAACTAAAGGCCGACAGAACAGTCAGTTTAGGGGCTGGTGCAAAGGATGAATTGCACATTGTGGAAGCAGAGGCAATGTATTACGAAGACAGTCCAATTAAAGTAACACTGGCAACTGTGAAAATGTCTCTACAGCCAACGGTTCCCCTTGGGGGCTCTGAAATTACACCACCTGTTGTCTTAAGGTTGAAGTGTGCTTCAGGGCCTGTGCATATTAGTGGACAGCACTTAGTGGCTGTGGAGAAAGATACAGAATCAGATGAGAAGGAGGACAAGGATGTAAAACTCTTAAGTATATCTGGAAAGCGATCTACCCCTGGAAGTGGTAGCAAGGTTCCACAGAAAAAAGTAAAACTAGCTGCTGATGAAGATGACAATGATGATGACAACGACGACGACGATGATGATGAAGACAATGATTTTGATGATGAGAAAGCTGAAGAAAAAGCGCCAGTGAAGAAATCAATACGAGATTCTCCAGCCAAAAATGCACAAAAATCAAACCAGAATGGAAAAGACTCAAAACCATCAACACCAACATCAAAAGATCGAGAATCCTTCAAAAAACAAGACTCCTCAAACACCCAAAGGACCTAGTTCTGTAGAAGATATTAAAGCAAAAATGCAAGCAAGTATAGAAAAGGCACATTGAACAGTCCTGGGGACTACTGATAAGTTTAAGCCCAAAGATGGGGAGAAAGGAGGAGGAGAGATAAGTAATGGTCCATACTGAGTATCACCAACAATCCAGACTGAAGTCTTCCTTTTTAATCTCAACCCCCTTTCCTGATCTGCCACTCAGACCCTCTTCCAGGCTGGAAGCAATTTTTTTCCTAAAGCACCTTTTTTTCCTCTACTTTTTTGACTGCTGTGATTCAGTGAAACTTACATAATGCTTTCTGTTGTGCAAATGCCTCATCCCTTCTTTTAATTACCTTTGTATTTCTTAGCTGCTCAATAAATATTTGAAGGGGCTGGGGATTTAGCTCAGTGCTTTCGCCGCCTGCTGTGCAAGCACAAGGACCTGAGTTCAATCCCCCATACCAAAAAAACATATATATATATTTGAAGGAATCAAATAAGGATGTATGTGACAATTTTAGAAGAAAAAAAAAGAACTCAACCAATAACAAATGCTGGAGGGGGTGTGGAGAGAAAGGAACCCTTCTCCATTGTTGGTGGGAGTGCAGACTGGTGCAACCACTGTGGAAATCAGTGTGGCGATACCTCAAAGAACTAGGACTGGAAGTCCCATTTGACCCAGCTATTCCCGTTGGATATCTTCCCCAAAGAATTAAAAGAATCATACCACAGCGATATATGTGCACCCATGTTCATAGCAGCACAATTTGTAAAAGCTAAATCTTGGAAACAGCCCAAATGCCCATCAAACAACAAATGGATAAAGAAGATGTGAGTTTTTTATACAGTGGAGTATTACTCTGCCATAAAGAAGGATAAGCTTGAGACATTTCTGGCTAAATGGATGGACCTTGAGACCATACTCTTAAGTGAGATAAATTGGACACACATGTTTAAATACCACATTGTTTCTCTGCTGTGAGAAACCTAAAGTGTAAATAAGGACCAAAATGTATTAATAGATATTGGGAAATGGGAAGAAAATGTTCAAATGAGAAAGGGAACAAGGGAGGGGAGAGGGAGAAAGGAAAGAAGGGACAAGAAAGAGGAGAATAGAATGAAAAAAACAAAAACAAAGCTTTTGTAAATAAGGAGGGGAAGAGGGGTTGAGGGGAGGGGAGAAAGGAAAAAAAGAAGCAAGATACATCATGAACTGCAGTCCCACATTTTGGGGGGGGCGGGTATCAGGGATCGAACTTGGGTCCTTGTGCTTTCAGGGTAGGTAGCAGAACCACTGAGCTAAATCCCCAGCCCTCCCACATCTATTTTTAAATAAATGTTTTAAAATAAATTTCAGGCTATAGACTTTGCTCAGTGGTAGGGCACTTGCCTAGCATATGTAAGGCCCTGAGTTTGATTCCCTGCAGCACAAAAACAGGAAAATGAAAAATAAAAAATAAGCTGGGCACAGTGGCATGTGCTGGTAATTCCAGCACTTAAAAGGCTGAGGCAGGAGGTGGCAAGTTTGAGGCCAGCACGGGATACCTAGGCCAGCCTGGATACAGAGTGAGCCACTGTCTGGAAAAACAAACAACAGAAATTTCCATGTGAAGAAATGTATTAAAACAACTGTCATGAAGCTTGGTGTGGTGATGCATTCCTTTCATCCCAGCACTTGGGAGGCTGAGGCAGGAGGATCACAACAAGCTCGAAGCCACCCTGGGCTACATAGTGAGTTCAAAGTCAACCTGAACTACATAGCAGACCCTGTCTCAAAAAAAGAAACAAATTTTAAAAAGTCATGATTCTTTATTAGAAAAATTAGAGATACAAGTTTTTATACTCTACCCAAGTCCACAACCATGTCTTGAGCACCCCCTGGAGGCAAATACTTCCGACTCTGGGGACCACTGCCCTCCACTAAGTTCCTTTTACTATTTTTATCTATTTACGTATCTATTCTGGAGGTGCTGGGAATTGACCTGAGAGGCTCATGCTAGCTAAACAAGTGTTCTATCACTGAGATGTACTTCTAGCTCCAAGAGGTCCATTTCCTGTGTTTATTTTGGGGTTTTTGTTTGGTTTTGAGACAGGCTCTCGCTATGTAGTTCGGGCTGGCCTTGAACTCACTTTGTAGCCCAGGCTGGCCTCGAACTCGTGGTGACCCTCCTGCCTCAGCCTCCCGAGTGCTGGGATGACAGGTATGCACCACGCCCCTCAAGGTCCATTTTAGAGGAGCGCGGGCTGATTCCATCCTTTCCACGCTCTCCCATCACCTTTTTCTCATCCTCTTGCCATCTGTTTCCATTCTGTCTCTCCTCCACCTCTTTCCAGTCTGGTCCTTTTCTGCAGAACCCCGGACCGCGCCGGAGACGGCGGCCACAGGCGGCCACAGGCGGCCAAAGCCGACCACGGCGCCAGGTGCCGCGCAGCTGCTGAACTCAGGAAGCAGGGAGCCGCGCGCTGCACAACACTCCGAAACGTCATTTCCGGTCGCGACCCGCACAGGCGGCCAGGAGTGAGCGGACCGCGTGGGGGGGCGGGGTTCGGTCGCGGGCGGGCGGGGCAAGGAGGTCCGCGGCCGCTGTGGCGGGTGAGAGCCTTTGACTGGGAAGGGGCGGCGGGAGGCGGCCTCTGGCCCATCCCCGCTCCTCAATCGCTCACTCTGGTCACCGGGCCGGCCTGGCCACACCCGGCCGGGAAGGGCCGCCTCTCATCCTTGAGGCCTGCGAGCACCCAGGGGTGATATGAGAGCCCTCCTGACTCGAGAGGCATCCGGAGGGTCGTGCGCCCATCCCGCGTGCTCCCAGTTCGCGCCCGAGCCCGACTGTGCCCACCTGACAACTTCCGGGCTCCCGGTGGAGAGGAACCCCAGCCTCACGGCCACTCACCCAAGTCCCTAAACACCTACCACTGTGCAAGCACCTGGGGCTGGCATTGCCCACTGCCTTGGGCTGCATCTGCTCAAACTCTTACAGCTGCATGCAGAGACGGGTGGCATCACAGCCTGAGCCCTGTGCCAGTGACTCCAGGCAGCCCGCCCTGCTGCACAGCCCAGGCGACACGGACACCATCCTTCCTTCTGGCCGCTCCAGCACCGCGATCCCCACCCCACCCCCGCACTTGACCTCTCCCACCCACCCTGCCTGTCCAGCCTCAGCTTTCTGCCACAAGACACAGGCTGGACCAGGGTAAGTGACCCGAAGCCCAGGCCAGCAGGGCCTTGTCATGGGGCTGCATCCCAGGCATAACCTTTTTGCTGGCCCTGTCCTCAATCTCAGATGTTGGGGGTGGGCAGGCCCAAAGACTGATCAGGACCCCAGGGCCTTGGGACACTACAGAGCTCGAGGCAAATGGCAGCAGAGAGGTCAAAATGTGTCCAGGTTCTGGTTGCCTCAGTTCTAGCAGCTGATGTGACACCAGGGTGGTGGTTGGTCACCCTGCCCTCTGTAAACCCCCAAGTCCCACTGGGAGTTTGAGGTGCTAGGAGGGCACACATTGAAGGATGAGCTGAACAGCTCCAGGGGCTCAGATTCTGAGGCCGCCAGAGAAGGGCAAGCCCCCAGGGGCCCTGTGACTCTCTCTGACCCAGTTCTGGCAACTTCCCCTGGGAGGGTGGACCTGCTTCCTCCCAGGACCCCATCTCATCACCATAGGGCAGTCCAGTGTCCCCACCAGTGGTCACCCACTGCCTGCACAGCTTTGTCACCTCTTCTATTCTTCAGAAGCCTCCTGCACCTGGCCCTGGCCCATCAGCGCCCTGTGTCCCTGTGTCCTCCACAAGCAGGTCCCCTTGTCCGTCCTGGAACTCCTGGAGAAATTTTACCCCAACTGTGGAATTGCTTCAGCCCTGCTGTACCTTGTTTTTTGTTTTGTTTTTTTTCAGTACTGGAGATTGAATCCAGAGCCTACATACTGAGCTACATCTTCAGCCCTTTCGTTTATAGTTTTGGGTTGATTTGTTTGTTTTTCTTGATACCAGCGATCGAACTCAGGACCTTGCGATTGCAAAGCAGGTGCAGTGCCACTGAGCTAAATCCCGGGTCGGGTCCTTTATATTTTTGTTTTGAAACAGGGTCTTGCTAAATTGCCCAGGTTGGGTTTGAACTTGCAGTCCTCTTGCCTCAGCCTCCCGAGTGCTGGGATGACAGGCCTGCACCCCATACCCAGATGTACCTGGATTTTGTAGCCAGTGGGGAATGAGTTAATGGTGACAGGACTGAAGGTGGCTCTCCTGAGTCCCTTGTATGAGAACATCCCCACAAGGCCCCCATGGTGGACAAGCCCAGGAAAGTGAGCAGGTATGGGCAGGCTGAATGGACACACAGAGCTATACCCCCCCCCAGGACTGGGATGCTTGACACAGCTATGCCAGGGGAGGGGACAGCTGAGTTGCACTGAGGGCCAGCACTAGACCTTGCTTTGCCATGTCTGAGCTTGGGGCAAGGGTCTTGCTCAGTCCCCCAGTGGGGGGCTTGCAGATGCCTAGGGTCCTGGGCTCACAGTCACTCACCTTCACCAGCCACACTTCTGTGTCCCTCTCTTCCCCAGGGAGAGCCCTACCCTCGAGGCAGGCAGCACAGAACCAGCACAGCCTATGGATCCTTCTCTGGAGGAGCCCATGGCACTGGCAGGGGCGCTCTCCTGAGCTGCAGAGGTCTGGGCACCGCATCCTCCGTGACAGCTATGGTGTGCAGGAGAGGCAGGGGCGCCCAGCAGCAGCCGGGCCCAGGCCAGGAGGGAGGGTGTATGGGCCCCCTGAGCATCCTGGGAGCCACCGTGCTGCTCCTGACCCTGCCATGGGGGGCCCAGGGCACTGCCCCAGCTGACCTCAGCACTGCTGTAGGCCACATGGTGCCCCTGGCAGGGGGCCGCTATCTGAGCATTGGAGATGGCTCTGTGGTGGAGTTTGAGTTCCCCGAGGAGAGTGAGGGCATCATTGTGATCTCAAGCCAGTACCCGGGCCAGGTCAACGGGACCAGGCCTGGCCCTACCCTGAAGGTCACATCCCTGGACACAGAGGTGCTGACCATCAAGAATGTGAGTGCCGACCATCAAGAATGTGAGTGCCATAACGTGGGGAGGCAGGGGTGGCTTTGTGGTGAACATCCACTCTGGCCTGGCTGGGCTGGCGCCACTCAGCATCCAGCTCCTGGACCTTCATGAGGCCCCGCCCATGCTGATCGAGGAGCGGAGAGATTTCTGCATCAAGGTCTCGCCGGTAGAAGGTGCCCCAGCTGAGCTCACTGCCGACCTGGCCCACTTCTCAAAGAACCCAATCCTCTACCTGCTCTTGCCGCTCATCTTCGTCAACAAGTGTTCATTTGGGTGCAAAGTGGAACTTGAGGTCCTCAAGGGGCTCCTGCAGAGCCCCTAGCCTGTACTGCTGGGCCTCCTGGGCCAGTTTCTGGTCATGCCCTTGTACGTCTTCCTGATGGCCAAGGTCTTCATGCCGCCCAACGCCCTGGCTCTGGGCCTCATCATTACCTGCTCATCACCTGGCGGTGGGGGCAGCTACCTCTTCAGCCTTCTTCTTGGAGGGGACATCACGCTGGCCATCTCCATGACTTGCATCTCAATGGTGGCTGCCACTGGGTTCCTGCCACTCTCCTCGGCCATCTACAGCCACCTGCTCAGCATCCACAAAACACTGCACGTGCCAGTCTCCAAGATCCTGGGGACCCTGCTGTTCATTGCCACCCCCATAGCAGCAGGAGTGGTGATCAAGTCCAAACTGTCCAAGTTCTCCCAGCTGCTGCTGCAGGTCATCAAGCCCTTCAGCTTTGTGCTGCTGCTAGGTGACCTCTTCCTGGCCTACCGCATGGGGTCTTCATCCTGGTGGGAGTCAGGCTGCTCATTGTCCTAGTGGGCCTCATGGTGCCCCTGGTTGGCCTCTTGGTGGGCTACTGCCTTGCCATCTGCCTGAGGCTGCTGGTGGCACAACGGCAGACAGTCAGCCTTGAGGTAGGGGTGCAGAACAGCCTGCTGGCCTTGGCCATGCTGCAGCTGTCCCTCCACCGCCTCCAAGCAGACTATGCCTCCCAGGCCCCCTTCATTGTGGCACTGAGTGGGACCTCTGAGATGCTGGCCCTGGTCATTGGCCACTTCATCTATAGCAGCCTGTTTCCAGTCCCATGAGGCCACTGCCTTGCCCTCTGCCCACTGTCCCCACATTTCCTGTGTACCAAAGGCCTTTAGTTCTCATGCACTATGCACTCAGACAAATCCACGCTTACATTTTTTACTGTTTTTTCTTCAGCTTTCAGTCCCAAAGAGCCCATGCTGAGTTAGGTAGATGGGCAGTGCCCAGAAATATATTTCAATAAAAGAAAGCCACAAGCTTGGGGTCCCCTCCAGTCTGCCCCTGGGCCCTGGGGCAGGCAGGAGGTGTGTGCCCAGGGTAGGGGAGAGGCCTGGGTGGCCAGGCTCTGTCCCTCAGTCCCCTCTGTGGGTCCCCTCCTTGTTATGGGTCGAGGGGTGGGAGGATGAGGGTGGCAGCCTGGTTCAAAGGAGGAAGTAGAAAGTCATCTGGCAGTGGACAAGCTTGGCAGGGCAGGGCTGGGCCGTTTCTGTCACTGAGACAACCGGGGTTGGCACCGGCCCCGTCCCCAGCACTCTGGGAGCTTAGGGCCCGCCAGGCTGTCCACGGGGCGAGGCGGGGCCTCGGGGCCGGTGATTCTCCGGGGAGGGGGGGGCTGCGGGGCGGGGACGGGCCAAGGCGCGCGGGCGCGCCCCCTCGCAGCTTCCGGCGGCGGCGGGCGGTTCCGGCGCGCGCCCAGGGCGGCAGCGCGCGGCGGGAGGCCGCTGGGTGCGCGTCGCCCCTAGTGGACGCCGCCGCGGTCGCCATGCAGCTGACTGTGAAGGCGCTCCAAGGCCGCGAGTGCAGTCTGCAGGTAGGATCGCCGGGCCCGGACCCGCCATTCACCCTAGCCTGGCGCCAGGACGGTCAGGGGCTGGGACAGGCGGGCCCCGAACGCCCGGAGAGCGGCCCTCGGGAGCGGACGCGAGGTACCCGCTCCCCGGGGCCGCGGCTCACCCCTGCTTCCACCCTCGCCCGGCCAGGTGCCCGAGGATGAGTTGGTGGCCACGGTGAAGCAACTGGTCTCCGAGAAGCTAAATGTCCCTGTGCGCCAGCAGCGGCTGCTGTTCAAGGGCAAGGCCCTAGCAGGTACTCCTAGAGGAGGTGCCCGGGAGCCCCACTGGAAGCCGGGGGACGGGCTGTGCAGGGTGCCCAGGCAGCAGCGCGACGGATCCGGGCTTTCCGGACGGTGGCCCAAGTCACCACCACCACCAGATGCCACTGCGCCGCCCCAGCTGCTCGAGGGAGGTGGGCCCGTGGCTTCCGGGGCCACCCCCACAGATGTAGGTAATGAACTGCACTCGTCTTTCTTTGGTAGATAGGAAACGACTGTCAGATTACAGCATCGGGCCCAATTCCAAGCTCAACCTGGTGGTGAAACCTCTGGAGAAGGTGCTACTGGAAGAAGGGGCTGCCCGGACTGGGGCTGAGCCCCCACCTGCACCTGTCTGGCAGCTGGTCTCTAAAATCCTGGCCCATCACTTCAGTGCCGCAGATGCCAGCAGAGTCCTGGAACAACTCCAGAGGGTGAGGAAGCTCCCCTGCCCGTCACAGCCTGCCTGTCCCCACCAGCACCCCCCAATCCTCCTGGCCTTCTCTCCTCAGGATTATGACAGGTCCTTGAGCCGCCTAACGCTGGATGACATTGAACGCTTGGCCAGCCACTTCCTGCACCCTGAAGGGACTGAGGCGCTAGAGAAGGGGTTCTCCAAATAGCATTCCCGGATGTCAGGGAGGAGCCCGAGGCCAGACTACAGCTGCATGTTGCATTAAATGTGTTCTCATGTTGCAGTTGGCTCCTGATAATAACAGCTGGTGCGGGTGTCTGGCACCCCTCACGCCCCTTCGACCTGGTTCTCTCCCACCCTGCAGCAGAGGTGAGATGGGATGGCAAAGGGGCCCAGCAGTGACATGAAGTGCCTGGCATGAGGAGGAGCAGTGCCCTGTGGGCAGGGGGGGTGGGCTTCAGCACGCTGCCATGACTACACCCTGCTTCACCCTCCCAGGCCTACAGGGAAACAGGTGGCCGCTGATGCCCAGTGCAGTCTCCTGACCTCTGCTGCATCTGTCAGAGCCATTGGCAAACCTCCTCGGAGGCCAGGTGCCAGCCACCCTGTGTCCCCTTGGCCATTGCAGTCCGTGTAGCATGTCTTGATGAAGGGGCAGTGATCTAGGGGCTGGGGAGTCAGAAAGTCACACAGCCCTGTGGCATGACTTGGAACAAGTGACTGTACCATTTGGGTCATCAACCATAGAGTCTGTGCAGTGAGAGTCACTTCTCCAAAATGAATCCCTTTTTTTCCTCCCTCCCCGGCCCAGGGTGGAAAGTCTGCAGGGACCTTGGACCTTGTGTTCAGTGACAAACCGAAGCCAAAAGTGAAGCCATAGCCAAGCATGGGCTGGCCAGGGGGTGTCCCGGCCTTCGGGACCTGGCTTTTCTCTGGGCCCCTTGCTCAGCTTCTCCTCCTGGAAGTGGGTGCTTCTCACCTCTCTGGTAGGCAGATGACTCTGCGAGACAGTGTGGTGCCTGGCACTTCCCCCGCCTTGTGTGTCCACTTAGCAGGCCCCTCACCGCCTTCAAGGGACACTGGGTGCTGGGAGGGGGCAGAAGTGTGAGATGGAGGGCACGGGGGGCCAGTGCCAGTGCTCTCATCAGCGCCAGGCCCTTAGAGCAGGCTGCACCTGCCTGCACCTTGGTGAGGCGTCTCTGGGTCCCCATGCAGGGAAGGTGACAGGACAGACCTGCTGGGGATATCATGCAGCAGGGATCCACTGAAATTGTGTAGCTCGTGATGCTGTTGTTTCTTTGCAGTCAGGGAATATGCTCTGAGAAGAACATGTGTTCTGAGAAGAACTGTGTGCAGGAAACTGAACCACAAAGAACTCTGTTAGTGAGGCTGCTTTTGGTTGCCAGTAATTGGTTTCAAAACAAAGGAAACTTCTTGGTGACCCACAGCAGATGAACAATTTGACGAGATTTCCAGTTTCTTCCACCTCCCTCTACTTTCTCCAGTTCCTGCTCAGTCCCAGGCCACCACCTCCAAGGAGCACTTGTTTCTGTAGCGTAGCTTCTGTCTCACACGACCCTGCAAATAAACGCTATCATTTCACTGGTCACAGTGGCTTGGGTGTGCGATCATTCTGGTGGCTGGGGAGTGAGGGACAAGGCCTGGGGTCTGCTGCCTCAGGCATACGCCAGCCATGCTGGAGGCTGGGAGATCCCGAATGGTAGCTGCAAACAGCATCTGTCCACCACAGGGGACCCAAGTGTCTTAAAAGGGTCAGGAGCACCTGGATGAGCTGCTGGGGACCCTGGGCAGAAGGCTCGCACAAGGAGGGGCCCCTGTGGTGCCTGTCTTGAGGACACTTAGCTGGGTTTGGCGATGCACACTGTAATCCTTGTACTTATGAGGCTGAGGCAGGAAGATCTTGAATTCCAGGCCAGCCTGGGCTACAGGGCTACTGAAGAAAAAGATACTTTAGTCTTTGACAGGGACTCACTGCCCTGCTTAAAGAGAAAGAGAGAAACCCTAGACATGGTTATTTTTCTTCTTTCGGTACTGGAGACTGAACCCAGGGCCTTCACACTGAGCTATATCCCTGGCCCATTCATTCATTCATTTATGGGACAGGGCTGGACAGGCTGGGCTGGAACTTCGATCCTCCTGCCTCTGCCTCTCAGTGCTGGGATTCCAGGCATGGGCCAACATGCCCAGTGTACACATGGTTTTTGAGTCCTGCCAATCTTGGGGGCCAGTGCACAGACACAGGTCCCGCTGTGTCGAAAAAGCACAGCTGGTCATCCTGCCACAAGGCTGGGCCAGGGACCCCATGGAGGGACCCCCAGTATGATGCTGAGGGCAAATGTGGGAGCCTGGGAAGAACAAGTGTGTGGGAGAGGCTAGTGTGCTTCTGTTGCCACGGAGGGACCTGGCTGCGCAGCTGGACACAGGGCTTGGAGCTTGTGAGACTGCGCTAGACCTGGAGACTGAGGAGCAAAGGGCCCGGGGTGTGCACTGGGTTAGTGCTGCTTTATGTGGGTGTCAGTCACAGGCTCCTCTGTTGTCCCCACTTGCCCAAGTGCCACACACTAGGACACAGAGGGACCAGTACAAGAACCAGGCATGGTCCAGTCCCGGAGCCTAACCCGGGGTGGCCATGCTGCTGTTCCCAGAGATGCCCTCAGAGCTTTGCAGATAGATCAGGAGCTCTCCCGGGAAAGGGGCACAAGAGGAGGGGTAGAACGGAGGAGAGGAGGTGGACTTCCAGGTGGACAGTGAGGCTAATGGCACATGGTGCCATTGGAGGAGGAAGCCATTGGATGGCAGGCTGGAGAGCGAGGGAAGAGGAGGAGGAGGTGGCACAAATGTCCACCCGCAGGTGGTTCCAGTCTGCCCACTGCCCCTGCCCTTCAGGACAGTCCCGAGCCCCAGGGATGTGAGGTGATGACGCTAACACCAGGATATGATAGATGGCCCTGCTCAATCAGGCAATGGTATTTAGAAACCAAGATCTGGCCAGGCATGGTGGTGCATGCCTGCCATCTCAGTACTCAGAAGGCTGAGCCAGGAGGATCTCCCAAGTTCAAGCCCAGCCTGCACTAAATAGCAAGACCCTGTCTCAAACAACAATAAACAAACAAAAGCAAAAGGAAAGCAATGTCTTTGTGCAGGATGTGTTCACTGCTCCTGGACCCTGTCAATGGACAGAGCCTGGAAACACGAGGAGCCTTGAGATCCCAATTCTATTTCAGGTTGTGACATGGATATATTGACTCATCTGATCTACCCAACAGTCTCTCTTCACACTCACCTCATCTCTGCCATTATCAACAACTATGCTAAGAGTGAAGCCAGTTCCTGATTTTAGAATATATCCCACAAAGAGAGTATGCTAGGGAAAGTGAATTTAAAAGGCACTGTATTAGCTCAGCAAGGTGGAACACACCTATAATCCCAGCACTCAGGAGGCTGAGGCAGCTCAAAACCAGCCTGGAGAAATTAGTAAAACCCACCTCAAAAATAAACATACAGGGCCGGGGCATTTAGCTCAGTGGTTCTGTGGCCTGCCTCGAAAGTGCAAGGTCCCAAGTTTGATCCCTGGTACCCAAAAATCAATTCCAAAAAACATCCATTTATTTATTTATTTTTGAGAGAGTCCCACTCTGTTATTCAGAGTGGACGTGAACTCACTGTGTAGCTAAGGCTGGTCTTGAACTCATGGCAATCCTCCTGCTTCAGTCTCCCGAGCACTAGGGTTATAGGCATGCACTACCACATCTGGATCTCAAAAGTAAACATTTTTAAAAGGCTGAGAATGTAGTTCAGTGATAGAGTGGTTGCCTAGCATACACAAGATCCTGGTTTGATCAACCCCCAGTACCAGAAAAAAAAAAAAAGAAGAAGAAGAAGAAAAAAAGAATATACTGCAATCTCACCTCTGAGGGAAGCTGAGGCAGGAGGATTGCAAGTTTAAATCCCACTGGGGCAACTTACTGGCAGCAAGAGACTATCTCAGAGAAAAAACAAAATGGCCGGGGATTTAGCTCAGTGGTTTTGCCGCCTGCTGCGCAAGCGCAAGGACCCGAGTTCAATCCCCGGTACCAAAAAAATAAAAAGAAATCTAACTCGGGCTGGGGATTTAGCTCAGTGGTTCCAGCGCCCGCCTAACAAGCTCAAGGTTCTGAGTTCCTTTCCATCCCGACCCCCAGAGATTCTGAGTATTGCTACGTTAGCGGATTGTTGTAGGGTTCCTGTGTGCACCCTGGATAACGTACTATATTGGTACTTAGTGACTCTGGTTTTGCACACTGCTTTTTCCCATATATTAGACCTATTTCCACTGCCAGCTCTTTGCTTGACGTCCATGTCATTTCTTACTTCTCTGATGGCAAGTTCTCCTCCACACAGCCCCCTCTGAAGCGCTCCTTCTAAACTGCAAGTGGATCCATTCGCTGTCCCTGGACTGACCAGTGGGGGCACAGGGTAAGTAAGGCAGCATCCTAAACAGGGCTGCACGCCGCCCTCCTTCCCACCGCAACGAAATGGGTGCCCTGATTGGCAGCCGTGGAGGCGGGGCCTCAGACCGGTGCGCTCATTGGCCAGGCAGCCAGCGGGTCTCCGGGGTCGCCTAGCAGGGCCAAGCGTGTTGAAGCAGATTCCCGGGCCCAGGGCGGCAAGGTCTGCTCGCGGGCCCGAGCACGCGCCCGGCAGGAGCGCCTTGGCGTCGGCTCGTGGGTGAAGGGACAGCTTTCGCGGTACCTCTGTCCCTCTGTGGCTGACCGGGCCGACAAGGGTCCGGCAGAGTCATCACAGCGGGAAGCGACCACTCAACCGCCGCTTCCCCAGCGCCCGGCTGCGCACGCGGGATGGGCTCGCGGCCGGGGGCGGGGCCTTGGGGCCCTTAGTCACCCAATAGCCGACGAGCAGGGCAAGCGGAAGGCGGGGCCACAGCGGACATGCTGACGGGCTGCGCAGGCACGGCGGCGGCTGCGGCCGGTAGCGCCCACCCGGCAGCTGGTGCTCCAAAAGCCCCCGGTGTGGGCCTAAATCCGGCTCCTAAGGCCAGCGGACCCGAGAGCAGAACACACATATTGTATCCTACTCGAGGGGACAGCGGGGGTTCAGCTGGGCTGCCTGGGGTGGAGTAGGGGCACGCGAGAGGGTGGCTGGGAGTCGAGTGACCGGGGTGGCCTGGGGACTTGTGGGCTCCCCTAGAAGGGTTGGCCGAGTCAGGCTGCCCCGGGAGGGGTGACGGTGGCCTCAGAGAACTGCGGAGGCCGGGAAAGCAGTGCAATAGGAACCTTCACAGTAGCCACCAGCGCCCTCTGCGTGCTGTTCCCGACGCCTTTGGACGCAGGAATCGCTCTCGGCTCGCTGGCTCCAGATGCTGAACCGCACCCAGGAGTGATTGGGAAGGAGCTGACAGCGAGTGGCAGCACTCTGGCCGTGTAAGTGAGACAGAGGGCTGGCATGGCCCGGGCATGGCGGCACAGGCCTGTGATCCCGGCAATTTAGGGGGCTGAGGCAGGAGGATCGCGAGTTGGAGGCCAGCCTCAGCACTTCAGCCAGCCCCTCTCTAAAGTAAAAAGCGAAAAAGTCTAGGGCTGCTGTGCACCTGGGCGGTACAGCACTCACTTAGCTTGCCAGAGCCCTGAGTCCCCCCAGCCCCAGGGGAAAATCAGAAGGGGCTGGCATGGGAGTGATGTGGCTGCACTTCTAGGGATGCAAGTGAGGTCCTGAGGTAGTCTCTGCTGGAGTGCCCTGTGATGGGTGCCCCAGGACCAACTTTGCCTTCTCTCCCTTCATCTTCAGCCGCTGGACAGCAGAAGATGCGAGCCTCCTTCAGGTTTCTGTAGTCAGCTTCCTGGAGCAGCTTTCCCTGGTGGTGCGGACCATGCAGCGCTTTGGGCCCCCAGTGTCCCACTGAGCCTGATGTGGGCGGGTGAAAGCTTCTATCCGCTCCTAGGCAAGGTGGCCTGCCCTAGGGCAATACGTCCCCAAGCAGTTGCATCCCAAGTTTAGGAGACCAAGGGCTTGGGGGTCTCGCCCTTAGGTGCCAAATGTCCCTTCATTTTGTTTGGTGCTTAAATGTGTGTTCTGCAGAAAATAAAACTGACCTACTACTCTGCACCTGGGTGTCTTTCTGTTTCCCTGTGAAAACGGGGATTAGATCCAGGGCCATTCAGCCTCCCAGATAGCTGTAATGAGAAGCATGAACTCACACCTGGCTACAGCTGAAGTGTGTGTGCGTGTGTGTGGGGGGGTACTGCTGGGCATTGAACTCAGGACCTTCACACTACACCACATCCCTGACCCTTTTTTATTTTTTATTTTGAGATAGGGTCTCACTAAGTTGCCCAAGCTGGAATCACATTTGTAATCCTGCCTCATTCTTCCAGCATGCTGGGATGATAGGCGTGTGCCATGACACCTGCCTCAGTTTATTTTCAAGTCTCTCAACCTACAGCACAAAATAGCTCTCCAGAAAAGGAGCTGCCCCACCAGAATGCTGGTTTCCCACTTCCTTAGGTCCAAGGAGTACTTTCCTGCCAAAACAACCAGCCCCTCCTCCCATAGAAACTGCATGACCAGAACCAAAGAGGCAGAGACCCTAGAGAAAGAGTTTTGTGACTTACCCACCTTGGGAGGAAAAGTGCTAGGGCAACTGGTTGAAGTGTTTAGAGAAGGAGTGGGCTCCTTGTAAGATACGTTGTGTCCTGTGGTTTTGTTAAACTCAGTCCAGGAGCCCCGGCACAGTGGTGAAAGCCTGTCGTCCCAATGCTCTGGGAGGCTGAGGCAGGAGGGTTGCAAGTTGGAGCTGAGCCTGGGCAACTTAGCCACTTAGCTAGACCCTGTCTCAAAATTAAAAATGGGCTGGGGCTGTAGCTCCATGTGAAGGCTCTGAGTTCAGTCTGAGGACCAAATGAATCAGCCCAGCAGCTCTTTTGTAGATGTTTCATCAACACTGTTGTTTTCTCAGAATAGAGGCAGTCTTCTTTCTACTCTGAATGCCTTTGGGTGACAGATTTCCTCCTCCAGGTGCACTGTGTTTTCCTGCCGGTGATGAGCTCAGGGATGACAGGTCGCTGTGCTGGGGTGGAACTAAGGTGGCATGCACACCTGGCAAGTGCTTTGCCCCCAAGCCGCACTGGCCCCTGTCTCTGTCACAATGATAGGGAAAAGTTTTAGATAACTTAATAGATTAAATATTAAGGTAAGTGTAGAACCAAAATAAGTAATGTGTTCTTTTAAGATTTGCTTTTCCCATAACTCCTTGTTTAAGGTGACGGTTATCTGACTCTTTAACCAGTAACTTCATTAACCTAACAAAGTTACCATGGGGGGGCGGAATTTACAATGTATATGGCCTATCTTGTGTCTGTGACTTGTAAATAGGAACTGGAATTGTATTTACGCATCAAAGACCACTAGGGATGAGATAATGGCTAAAAGAGATATAAAAAGGGAAATGCTGAACAAAGGGGGCGCAGATACTAACCAGACTGGTGTGCTTGCTTCGGCAGCACATATACTAACCAGACTGGTTTCTGACGTTCCCGCCCGCTCACCAGAAGAAATTTTATTATTTTATCCGAATTCTGTGTCTCCGTGTATCTCTTTCCGAGATTTCTGCAACATTTGGTGCGTTGGCCGGGAATCGGGAATGAAATAGCCCTTTTGGGCATCGGCCCGAACCCCACCGGAGGGAACGGCTCTCTGTCTCCTCGAGAGGAAAGGCGCACCCCTGGGACTAATTTCCTAGGCTCCCTAACAGGACACAGAGACCCGCTCACTGGCGGAGGATCGCCCGAACCCAAGAAGGAGACTACAGAAGGAGGACTGCTGCTGTTGGTGTCTCGTCTGTCCCTTTCCTTTGCTGGGTGAGAAACCCCGGGAAGCCCCCTAGTCGTTAACTTTCAGTTTCACCTTGTGAATTTGGACTCTGTAACTTTGGGCAAATACAGCACAGGGCCCTGATCACCCCTTGTGCTTTGCTATTTGGGAAGATAGCTCCTCCCATTTGTTTTGGTTCACTTTGTGAACTTTGGGCAAAATAGTGCAGGGGCCCGATCACCCCTTGCCCTTTGCCATTTGGGGAGGTAGCTTCTTTCATTTGTTTTGGTTACGGTTAGCGGGTCACCGGGAGGGCATGTGATAACTTCTGAGTAAATGTGTGAGTGAAAGAGTTCTGGATAGGAGAGTGTGTGAAAAGAGCTGCGGAACAAGACAGAGGGAGGAAGCGCTTGCGCTTAAACAGTCCTCCCTGAATCGCAGAATTTGTGTGTGGTCACCTTTAACAAAGGCACAATGGTGAGTTTAAGCGACAGCCCACCTTAGCCTGAAAGGACCTTACAGTGGCCGAGAAGCCCACAGCCAGGTAGGCAAGCGAGTGATCCCCCACCTTTGTCTTGCGTCTCCGTCTCCATACAAGGGTACCCACACACGCCAACACTCTGATCGGCCCATCGTGGGTCAGAAACATCTTGTCCTACTGTTTTGGAATGCATGCTTAAGAATTTTAAGAAAGGGGCGGGGATTTAGCTCAGTGGTGCCGCCGACCCGAGTTCGATCCCCGGTACCAAAAAAAAAAAAGAATTTTAAGTAAGGTTTTACTGGAAGTTGTGGTATTAAGATGAAACCCCAAAACTTAGAGCCTTTTGTGAGTTAGAATGGCCCAAGCTTTGCCTAGCTTGGCCAACTGAGAGATCCCTAGGTGAGGGTCTCGTCTGGTCCATCTGGCTAACAGTCACTGCCCCTGGATGGGAACATCCAGATCAATTTCCCTATGTTGATTTATGGCTCAAATTGTGCCACAGAATGCCTCCTTGGCTTCATATGTGCGCCCCGGAAGCGAAAAGCAATATCCTGGTCCTCTGTCAGAAAGGGGACGATGCTGAAAAGAAACCAGATCCGGACCGAGAGAATTTAGACTTTCCCCCTCCTTTTGAGTTGCTATATTCACAGGTTTGGAGGAGGTGGGGACAAAAGCATGAAAACTGCTTGACTTCAGAGCACCGTGCTGTGGTCAGACTCAGAGAGGATCAAATAGGGCTTACACTCAAATTAAAAAAAAAAATTAAAAAAAAATAAGTAATGGATTAAAAACAGATAAAAAAGCTCTGAAGGATATAAAACAAAGCCAGAGAAAAAAATTTTACAGGGGTTACAAATTTTAGTTAATTGATAAAGGTATCTGTGTTTCAGTTTAAAAAGTTACAAATTTTAGCTAACTGATGAATGTATCTGTGTTTCAGTTTGAGTTGATGTTTAATTGCTGTGCTTAAAGTATTTCTTGTATATTGCAAATTCTTCAATTGTAATTATAAGGTTAACTTGCTCTTTTCTGTGTTTTATGGATAAAAAACCCTCAAGGTTACTACTGTTCTATTGGCAGCCAACCAAGTTTAAAGTGTACAATCTGAGAACAAAAAAGGGACACTTTAAAATTTTAACAGCTAAAGACAAGTTTGTGATAAAAGGTCTATAGTGAGATAAAAAATATATATATTTAAAAGCTATAAGTAAAAGAGATACAATTTTGATATAAAAAATTTTGTATGTTTGTCTTGTTAAAAAGATAAAAAATATACAAGACCAGAAGGCCTAGGTATGTCGAAAGATGCACAAAAGTGATTTATCAAAAAATATGTATGTTTGTTGGTTTCAAGTTTGTTATAAAAAGTTTAAATATGTTTACATTAGTTGTCATCAAAGGGTTAAATTCTAAATATGTTACTATAATGTGTGTACATTGGTCATCTTCAAAGGGTTTAAGAGCCAACAGGTTACAATATGACCTCCTCCTTTATAGTGAGTTAGAAAAAAGACTTGGAAAAAGGCACAAATATGTCAGACCAAGGTGTGGTATTTGAGATTTGACTTAAGAAAAGACAAAGGAGGCTAGGTCCAGAGAAAAGGAAAGTCATTTATTCTTTCCCAAGACCCTTCCAAAATGCTTCAATTATTTGATTCCATTTTTGCTACCCATTGTCCTAATTGGGAGGACTGTAAAGAACTTTATAAAACTTTGTTAACCTCTAAAACTGCAGCGAGTTTTAGGAGAAATTAAAAAGATCAATGCTCCTAGAATGTTGGCAGGCACACAAAATCCAGACGCTTGACGTGAACAGCAATTTCCAGTGAATGAGCGGCCCAATTGGAACCCCAACACCCCAGGAGGCCAGAACAGCTTAAGCAATTATGAGACAGCCCTCCTGACAGGGATACGAGCTGCGAGTAAACAGCCTACAAATATGATTAAAGTGCTAGAAACACAGCAGGAGCCCGATGAGAGCCCTGAGAGATTTTATGAGTAGCTCTGTAAAGTTTACAGAATGTATACACCTTTTGATTCTGCTGTTCCTGATAACCATCAGTTAGTTAATCAATACGACTTTGTGACCCAGTCAGCTCAAGATATTAGAAGAAAATTCAAAAACAAGAAACTTGGGAGGGTATGAATATAACACAGTTGCTACAATTGGCTAAAAAAGTGTCTGTGAAAAGAGAATCAATGAAAGAAAAGGAACGGGCTAAGAGGAAAGATGAATGAGATAAAGAACAGCTGAGGGAGTTTCTGGGGCGACAGGCTTCTGTAGAATTTGGATTCTTGGTTTTGCATAGATCACTAAACCTCTTTATAAAGCTCTAAAGGAAAAAATCATTTACTTTGGGCTATAGGAAAAAAAAAAAGGCTTTTAAGAGACTAAAACTGACCTTATCAGCTGCCTCTGCTTTAGGCATACCAGATGTAAAGTGGCCTTTTGTTCTTTATGTGACTGAGAAGAACCATGTGGCCCTTGGAGTGTTGACCCAAGAAGTAGGCCCAGGGAACCAACCGGTGGCATATTTGTCTAAGAACTTAGATCCAGTAGCAAAAGGATGGCCTCCTTGTCTTTGGGCCTTAGCAGCTTCAGTTCTGTTGATCCAAGAAGCAGACAAGCTGGCTTTAGGTCGGGAACTGACTATGCAGGTTCCACACGCAGTCCTAGAACTACTGAACACAAGGGAGCATTGTTGGCTCACAAATAATTGGGTTACTCAGTATCAAGCCCTTCTCTGGGAGAACCCCTGCTTACGGTTTATTCCTGTAAAAGCTTTAAATCCTGCTACCTTCTTGTCCACAGAGA